CTGGGGCCGGGCCCGGCGGGGAGCCGCCGCAGGAGGGGTGCGGGGAGCCCGACCTGGTGATCGAGGTGTCCGGGCAGCGCCTCCGAGCGCACAAGGCGGTGCTGGCGGCCAAGAGCGACTATTTCCGCGCCCGCTCTTCGCGGGACATCCTGCGCGTCAAGGGGGTGAGCTACGGGGCGCTGCGCCTGCTGCTGGAGTACGTCTACACGGCGCGCATGGGCGAGGTGCGCCACGACAACCTGGCCGAGGTGGTGAGCGGGGCGCGGGTGCTGCAGATGCCGTGCGCCCTGCACTGCGCCGCCGAGGCCATGCGGGCGCAGCTGCGCCTCGACAACTGCTACCAGCTCCTGGCCCTGGCCAAGAAGCAGCGCCTGGCCGAGCTGCGGGAGGCCGCCTACCGCTTCATGAGCGACCACTACCTGCAGGTGCTGCGCGAGCCCGCCGTCTACGGGCGCCTGAGCGGCGCCGAGCGGGACCTGATCCTCCGGCGCCGCCTGGAGGCCGGCAAGCCCTGCCTGCTGGTGGCCGAGGTGAGCGACGCCTTCGAGAGGCTCGGCTCGGGCAGCCGCCCGCAGAGCCGCGAGAGCAGCCGGCCCCAGAGCCCCTCCTCGGTGGTGTCCCTCGACGAGAGCGGCTACCTGCTCTACAGCTACCAGGAGGCCTCCAAGGAGTGGGAGGTGCTCACCCGCCTGCCCGAGGAGGCCAACGCCAAGGGGTGCGCCATGTGCGTCCTCTACAACTACCTCTTCTTGGCCGGCGGCATCTCCGCCGCTGCCCTGGGGGACCAGCGAGCTAAGCTCTCCGACAAAGTGTTTTGCTACAACCCCTTGACGGACACCTGGAGCCAGGTGAGGCCGATGGGGCAGCCTCGCTCTCAGCTGAAGCTCCTGGCCCTGGACGGCTATCTCTATGCCGTGGGAGGAGAGTGCCTCTTCACGGTAGAGAGGTACGACCCCCGGGCAGATCGCTGGAGCCTGGTGGCCCCGTTGCCCAAAGGAGCGTTTGCCGTAGCCCACGAAGCCACTACCTGCAATGGGGAGATCTACGTGTCGGGGGGGTCACTCTTCTACCGCCTGCTCAAGTATGACCCCAAGCGGGGTGAGTGGCAAGAGTGCCCGTACAACAGTAGCCGGCGCCGCTCCACGGACATGGTGGCTTACAAGAATTTCATTTACCGCTTTGATGTGAGCAGCAGTCGTGGAGAACCAGGGCAGGCAGGCGGGGTGGATGTCTTCCGATACAATACGGTGGCCAAACACTGGAGTCAGTGTGCCTCCTTGCGCCCCACGGGCAGCCCGGTGCAGCCTTTCCGTTGCGCTGCATTGGGTGACACCATTTACTGCGTCAACCGGACTGGAATGCTGTGCTTTAACTTGTCCCAGAACGGCGAGGTGGAAGCGGACGGTGGCCTCAAAGGCACCTTCGACGCAGAGTTCCTCAAGGCTCCGTATGATGCCAAAGGGGTCCTTCTCCCATTTGTGCTCACCTTGCCAGAGAAGGAAAAAACTGGGGAGCCAGAAAGTCCTCTGGCGTTGTGAGAACTGACCTTGGGAATGCATCTTGGCACACAACTCACGCCATTCGTCTGTTCTAGGTATTGATGTCCACAGCGTAGGCTTTCCTACCGTGAGAAGAACCAGCAAGAGTGTCTGCTAGCATCGGTAATGGGAGCACCAAAGCAACAGAGGTTTAACTGAAGGGCGAAAGTCACTTGTCTGGCAACACCGTCTTGCAGCTGAAGAAACAAACACAGAAGAGCATTGTCAGGAATGTTCTTAATGTACACATGCATGCACCGCAATGGAGAATCGTGCTGGAGAATCCAGGGGACTCCAGCGAGCTGTAAATATTGAAAGCTTTTCTAGGATATGTCATGCAAGAAGGAATTCATCTCTTGGCGCTTTTATACACCAATCAGCAAAGGCGGCTAAGATAGATTAATTGTTGTACGATGTCAGTGCCACTTTCAGTCTAATGGGATTGTAGGGCTCTCAAAAAATCAGGAAAGTAACAAGTCTTAGGATTTTCAGTTCTGGGAAATTTCTTTATGTACCTGTTATGGAAAAAGGGGGACCTTTTGCTGCCCTCTTCTCTCCCTTCTTCTCCCCTTGTTTTTCTTTTGGATGTTAATAGTAACCGGTGGGGGAAAAAAGCTTGCAAACTATGAGTAAGATGCGTTACGTGTTTTTAAAAAGGTTAGCATGGTAAGAATGTGCTTCTTGTGTTAGAGAAGCAATCAACCATCATCTGAATCACCCCCACTTTTTTGTTCAAGTTTAATTGAGTCTTTATTGAAAACATAGCATTATACAGCCTCAGGAAGTTGCAGCTGTACTATACAGTTTAACAGAAGCCAGACATGAAAGGGCTGAGACAAGTTAAATTTCTCCCATATGTGCGTATGGGGGGAAAAGGCAAACTAAAAACAAAGCCATTTATGGATCTGTTTGGTTCTGGTTTGGTTCTTTTTTTAAAAAAAACACGATATGTACATGTGCATAGAAACAAGTGATCAGAAATGTACAATCAGTTGTGGTCTAAACGTATGCATGGTGGCTTTCAGTCGTGATTTCTCAGTGTGAGTCATGTGCTCCAGTCTTGACAGATTGGCAGGAATTAACACATAAGCAGTGAGTCCTTAGCAGAGGATTAAAAAAGAGAGAGAGAGGGAGAGAGAAACATTGTTTTTCCTTTGAGTTCATTGCTCTTACCAGCAGACCAGTGCATGTCAGTGAAAACCAAATGTGGCTTACTGGAAACTAGAGGCACACCATTGAAATGCTTCACTTGCATGTCCAGAATTCTTTGACAAGAAACAGTTCTGCTATTATTGATGGAAGGAAGCAAGGAGGTTTGTTGGAAAAGGCCATTTCCATTCTCCCCTGGCAACCTGCAATTTTATTACGGTTAATAATTTACTTTTTGAGTTCATTATCTACAGAGGCCGTATAACTTTTATGTTTTTATTCTCACTCTTTTGCTGAGTAGTTATGTACCGATAGATTCTGAGGAGGAGAAGAACAGCTTTCATTCTTGCAGCTAGTTGGGCTGTATTATCTTCCACATTACATGGAACAAAATTGAAATGAATGTGTGCATATATAATATATATAACCAATATATATATATTATATATAACCAATATATATACTGTATTAAAATTTGACTAGATCCATTGACTTGAATCTGGAGAGCTGCATAGGCCTGCACAAGGGGAAGTTTTCACAGTATCTTTCAGACAGCATGCCTTATTAGAAACTCTTTTTGGACGGCTTCTCCTTTTGCAAAGCAGATTGTCCTGAAGCTTGGGGTGGGGTGGGAGATATATTGCTACGAGATGAAAAGTAATCACAGAATTCACCCACCCACCCCTGCCCAGTTTACATAATTATTTCCATGCTGTTTCATGGAGGACAGTGTTGAAGAACAAACGGTCATGCTGAAGCCACTGCATTTGGAAGGAGGCCCCACAGAAGTCAAGAGACTTTAATTCCAGATTTAATATTTAGGTTAACTCTACTTCTACTCTTGATTTCTGTTCCATCCCTTTCTTTAGAAGGGGTCCTTCCTTTTTTCTCCTAAAGAGCTGTAGAAGGCAGGTTAGTGTGAGAAGAGATGACTGAGCCCAGGTCATCCAGTAACCGTGTGGCTGAGAGACTATTAGAACCCACAGCACTCATCTCTGAGGACCGCACTGCATTCACCGCACGACCACTGGATCTGGAGTGTCCTGCAGGGCATCGTGTCTTTTAGTTTCTAAGTTGAAACCATTCAGTCATAAAATATAGGATTAATTTATAGGAAATGTAAACTAATATTGCATATTAACTGGACAAAAATCGATAATTTCACATGTTGTCAGTTTTTGCAGGCAGAGTACCCCTATACACAGTTGTTGGGAAGAGTCCTGTTATATCTCACTTTTTGTGTGTGCATTCTACGGCTATTCACAGGCATGTACAAATACGGCAGGTCGTTAAGGGAATCCCTGCTGACCTTAGGAGTTAGCAAACCAAGCAATCATCTGGAGCACCAAGCTGAGGGAACTTCCGAGCTGAGCTCAGCGCTTGTGCTTAAATGAACTGTCTACAAGTAGGCTACTAAGAATAGGAACTGTTCCTCACCCCACCTCCAGAAAAAAGAAAACCACTAGAAGTAAAACATGTGATAATGTACTGCCACACCACTGAATGTGGCTTTTTGAGTGTTAATTTGTGCCGTTTTTAGCACGGCGACTGAGAAATCAGGGATTTGAGGAACATCGCTCTTGTTGGATACTCGTACTTTGAGAGCTACTCGTATATGACAAGAGATTTCAGTAGGGTTGCTAGGACTGAAGTAGGTCCATACTGAAAACCGAACAGCAAATAAGTAGTAGTGTGCTCTGTGCACCTTCCATAGAGGTTGCTAAGAAAAAGTCTGGGAGTCGTAAGGACTGCTACGCTGCCACGGTTTGTAATCCCGTAGAACTTGCTAACACTGTAGAGCTGTTAGGCCACCCTGGGAGAGGCAGGGGCAGTTTGCCCCAGGCTGCCACAGATCAGCCCCCTCTTCACCTTAGTTCCAGTGTATAGTATGGGCTGCTCCCCTGAGTGGAGCTCAGCAGAATTCTTGGTACAGTGGTGCCTCGCTTAATGATTTTAATTGGTTCCCCCCCCAAAAAAAATCGCTATATGAAAACATTGTTAAGCGAAACACCATTTCCCATAGAGATGCACTGAAAACTGAATAATCCGTTCCAAATGGAACGGATTACCCATGGGCTGCTCCCCTGAGTGGGGCTCAGCAGAATTCTTGGTATTTTGTTTGAAGTAGGAAGGAAGTGGTGCTTTGAAGTGTTAGATCGCACTAAATTTCAGCATGTGAATATTTTAAAAATAGCAAAAACGGGGCTGTAAAAAAAACATTAAGCGAAACAAGGGGACCTAAAACTGTCATCGTTAAGTGAAGCATGGTCCCGAAATCATTAAGCGAAAATCGACCATAGGGAAAATCGTTAAGTGAAGCACAAGATCTCTCCGAAAAAAACATCGTTAAGTGAATTTTTCGTTGTACGAAGCAATCGTTAAGCGAGGCACCACTGTATTTTGTTTGAAGTAGGAAGGAAGTGGTGCTTTGAAGTGTTAGATCGCACTAAATTTCAGCATGCAATTGCTACTCGTGAAATCCTGTTGCTTAGCCTAGTAAATTATTCTAGAATAGGCCCATTATATCAGTGGGGATTTGATGAGTCAGCTCCTCCATAGATTCCATTGATGAAAATGGGCTTACTCTACAGTGACATACTACACTTAGCAACAGGAATTTATCTACAAGGACTGTGGTGAAGTTCATCTTTTCTGTAGGCACTTGAGGAAAAGAAGATATGTTAATTTGAAGCATAGCTGGTTGTTTAAAACCATGGTGTGTATTCAGTCTGAGGAACAGTAGACGAGATGGATTGTTTTTGCTCCTTTTTGTCAGATTTAACCAGGTTGCGAACAGTGTTCTTGGGCAAGTGGACGTGAGGGAAGGGCCTGCTTATTTGGCTAGGCCTCCAGCCAACTTGCAGGGAGTCCAAGCCAATCTTGATCAGGTGGATTCTTTCCTTGAGTCTAGCTAGCAGTACGGATTAAGACTGTTCAGGCAAGCTAGTGGTTGGCCTTTGCCAAGGAGCCCTGTTGCAGAGTTCGACGTCAGGGCAGAAAGAACAAGGGAAGCTTTAAGGAGTGGCTCTGTGGCAGAATGGGCGGCTTGTTCCTGTCACGGGAGAAACTCTAGGTTTGCTCAGGGAAGAGTTAAAGCACTGGGCGGTTGACTCACCGAGTGAGCAAACATCACCTAAGATTTCCAGGCGATGTGCCTCTGGAGACTCATTTTCTGTGACAGTTACCACAGGGCAAGGCACAGGAATGGCATGAGGCCAGAGTTTTGGGGAAGGAATCCTTCCTAAGTGGGGAGAGAAGGTCAGCAGCAGCTCATCGCCACCAGAAGACCCCTGAGGATGAGTACCAGGAAGTGGGGGTGGGAGTGGTCTACCAGAAAGGATTGGGAATTTAGAGGAGCTACCCCAATCCTTTCTCTCCATGTCAAACAAACAAACAAACAAAAAGAAAAACCCAAGTGTGTTATTCATTCTATTTGAGCATAGACCTTAGAGGGACTTGGAAGGAAGTAGCTGTCTTAAGAGTGCAACAAATTTGACATATTTTTAGTGACTGCATTATGCAAAAGGCTCATTCAAGTTGGTCCAGACCTTTTTGCTCCCAAAGTGGATTTTTTTTTCTCTGTTGCTTGTTGAGGAGGGGAAGCCATCTACTTTTTTTCAAGCTGGAACAATTTGAACGGGCTTTAGTTGTGGTGTACTCTTGGAAAGGCAGGAGGTATGTGTATAGGTGGTATTTGGGGGACATAGACTTGTGGGAACATGCAAAAGCAAAGCACCATAATTTTAATGTGTGGGGGGGTCGGGTGCTGGTTCTGAATCCTGTTTAACACAGTAAGCTTCAGATTGTGTGGGAAGGCCCTTTTGTGGTGAAGCAAGAGCTTAGCAAGGCTAATTACTTAATTGACAGGTCTGAACGTGGTCCCGCCTCTGCTGATTCTTCTGTGGTTTCCTGTGAAGCCGCTTTCTCATTTAACGCTTTAGACCACTATATTTCTCAAACAAGTTCTATAGAAAAAAATAACATGGGAAAAGTACTTCACAATCATAAGAGTACAGAACACCAAAAGTTTGAGCAATAATTTTGCAAAGTACATCATCATTCGTGCATCTGGATGATTCCACCACAGGGATCATCTGCTTCCCCTTCCCATCTGAGGTAATTCTTGCTTGCATTCCTTAAAAGTAAATAAAGGAAGGACTGATAGATGGGAACAGGGTTAAGGAATCATTCTGATGTGTGAATTATGACAAATTTTTGCAAAATTACTGTTTGCAAAACACATCACAATTCTCATGTCAGAATGTGAATGATGATGACACTGATGTCAGGAAGGGCTCAGGGGCCAGAGAAATGGCCATCCTTTCTGCCAGAAATGTTTATATATTTTTCTGCTCACTCCACAGAGTTTACAACAAGCCATGAGAGAGATGAGTAAGGATCCCAGATTCCTCCCTCCTCAAAATTAGTATATTCATAGCTCTGTCCTCTTTTCCTGCTTGACAGGTAACTTGTACTCAAAATGCTGCCTGGGCAACACGGGGAAAGACTATATGTGTTCACATTGATAGACTGTGTGGATTGACCTCCAGTCCAAATTTTCTCAGGTGCGGAACGTATAGTCCGGAAAGGGTTGCATCCATATCCCCAGAGGCATGTAATCCAGATGAGGACGTTTCCTGTTGTTTAGCTAATTCTCTGCTATGATGGAAAGGAAAACAAAAGAAAACAAAACTGATTTTAAAAGGTTAATGTTAGAGGTGTGTGTAATTTGTGAAATAATATGTAAGGCTTCCAGATAAGTCGAGTCAGCTCTGCCCTTCTGTACAATTAAGGGGAACAAATGGTGAAATGTGGTTTCCTGAATACGTATTTCAACACAAGCTGACACAGCATTTTTATGGAGATTTTATAGAGGACAAGTTTGATGTGCTGTTTCTGTTTATCATGCGTAACTGGGCTGTAACTTTTCGTTGTGCAGCTGAAGGAAAACTGGGGAGTCAGTCACTTCACTGGCACAATT